CGCACCTAGTGCCTTTGTCTCACATTTTTCTGCAAGGACTCAGAGCTGCACCTGATTATCATAATTGTCACTCTTGCTGCTCTTCGAATGCCTTTCCATCTCTGCTCCTAGACCTCTTTGTCCTCTCTGATGTCACCCACACACTCACAATGCAATATGCATTCACACGTACTCAACCACACTCCCACACTCTCACCCGCACACGCAAAATATGCATGCTAAGCACATCTGTGCACACTCCTATGCACGCTCACATTCACACACACACACACACACACACACACACACACACACACACACACACACACGGAAATATAATAATGCCCTGACCTGTAGGTCCCTGCTGTTTTGTTCTGCTCTACTGAACCTTTGACAGACTTACTCAGTATCTGGTAGGTTTGTTTAGCAGCTCTCCAGAGCACACAAACCATGCTCAGCACCTACCCCTGATCCTACAAAATCTGAAGAATATTGAAACAGTAAGGAAAGGTTTGTCATATGATCTTCTAATGCACTGCCTAACGTAGGCTAAGTTTTCACTAGTTTGTTTTTCAGAAAGGAAGAAATCATGGATGATATCTGAATTACAGATCCTTCTTTTACACCCCTCCACCCTGGAAGATTTTCCTGTTCATGAACTCTGTTTCTCTGAACTGGCTGCTCCTCTTCTTCAGTGTGGCTATACTTCTCCAGCACTGAAGCACTAGCTGTAGGATACGCCTTGAGTGGTAGAAGCCAGTAAATGCTGCTCTTTGCTGTGGTGGGACATTTCCTTTCTTCTGCGTTATAAATTGTTTTGCAATTTTTTTGCTGAATTTTTGTGTATTTCATACAGAACACCTTAAACATCTGTATACCCCCTTCCCCATTGGCCCCTCCCATAACTCTCCCCCACTGAAACTCATGCATTCTGTTATTTGTGTTAAGGCCTATGATGTCAAGTTAGCATCCCCAGATGCCCCTCAGTATAAGTTCATCTGGGGTCTAGCCAGCCTATCTAGAGTCCCTCCTTTTCTCATTTACTTCTGATTGGAAAAGTCAACCCCATCTTGAGAGAAAGCTCTACTATCTTGTATGTTTCTTTGACTCATTAAATCCTTGGACAAAGGGGTGACTAAAAAGAAGAGCTATGTGTTTCTTCAAGCCTTGGCATACACTGTCTAACCCGTTACAGGGATCACCGGCTCTGGGTGCTAACACATGTCTTACCGTCTTAGTTTAAAACCAAATATCATATTACAAATTCTTATACCATCTATGAAAAACTGAAGATACTATTGATGGGATATTAATTGCATATAAGTTTACTTATTATTTTAAATAGAGTTCTAACAAAATTTCAAAATATTAATATTTAACAAAATTAAAAAGTGCAATCCTGTTGTTTCCATAACAGAAATTTCAAGAATTTCTAGGTAAACAGCATATAAATGGTCTCAACCTCCAAGATCGTGCTTGTTATTAAGAACACATTCAAAAATTTTATAAATGTTAAGAATTTAATTTCCTATATCTAATAAAATCATTATCAATGTATGATATTATTTGCTCCTGTAAAACTTTTCTTTCAATTCTGGCCTTCTCTTCCTACAAGAAAGAAAAATATTTCAATTTTTTTATTTTTTGAGAGAGAGCCATGTGTTTCTTAGTGGCCTTGGATTTATTCAGAAAGGATTTTCTCCTAGGTCCTGAGGAAATGCCCATACTGCCAGTTCCATGCCTCTGGCTTCACCTGAGTGACAGAGCCAGCTTGGTTCCAGGCTTGGGCTGATGGTGTTACCCACGTCACTTGAGGGGGTTACCAGAGTCCCAGAACAGAGGCCCAATTCTGGGGAGAGGCAGGCCTAACAAATCAGATCCAGCTCTTCAACCTAGAAATCAAAGGAAAACAGCAATGCTGGAAAGGCAGGAAAGGAATGTGTGTCAATCTCAATATTACCACACTGAAAGATAGGGCAGTGTTCTTTATCTCTGTCTTTTGGGAACTGACATGAACCTTAGATTTAAATGGGGGAAGAACTAAGGCAGAGCGATGCATAAAGAACTTTGATCAAACTGAGGCATAGAATTAAGCAATCTTGATCAAACCGTGGTCTGATTGAACATTTTTAAAATAGTATTTTTATTGATTCTTTGGCTTATTTATACAATGTATTTTTATCATATTCAAACTCCTCCCCATTTCCTCTCAGATACACCCCGTGTCTCTACTTTGTGTCCTCTTTTTTAAAAGCCTATCAGGTCCAATTTGTGGAACTTTTTATCAGTTCTAGTTGTTTGATGGGGCAAGCTGGTTTCCTTTCTGAAACAATCAGTCCTGCTTAGCAGGGCAGCCTCTGTTCCATCACAGGTCAATGGTTCCCACCTAGGAAGGTCAGTTTCATCAAGGTTTCTTATTTCTAGAATTCAAGGCAACTGCAGGTTTCAGATAATGACCAAGAGTTTTCAGGCACTAATCCGCAGGTCTATAAAAAGATGTCATAAATCTCTGCGAATTTTTAAACTCTAGATGCTCTTACCTTGTCTTCACCCTTGAAGGAAGATTACCAGCTTCAGATAAACACCACATGTTCAGAACTGAGGAGGAATCCGACTCAAATGAGACATACAAAATGATGTCATAGATGCCAAGCTTTGTCCTGTTTACAAGACAGTCCCCGAAATACCTCCAGAGTATCATTAGTAGATGAAATGTCCCCATGATTAGAATGACATAGCCATTGTTTCTATAATGTGATAAGCTGCAGTGCCTGCTTCCTAGTGGATGTTATATTCTAGATAAAACTAAAAATAAGCAAAAATCTCTCTTGACATCACACTGATCAAACCTATTTTTGCGCTTGTTAAGGCAGTGTCATTAAACTCAGGATGGAAGCATCACATGTCTTTGTTGGCCCTGGCCATTGAGGAAAGAAGTTGGAATTCAAATCCCTGCAGTCAAGAAACCCTGTCACATAACATTATATGGGGAGTTTGAAATGTCAGGGCAAAAATTGGAATGCCATTCATGGAGAGCAGGAGATTTGATGGCAGTCTATATTAAATGTTCTAGTACAAATTTATGCTACATGGAAAAGTCAGAAACCTCTCTGGGAAGATGCCAATGCAAAAGCTCTGATCCAATTTCTGTATTGTAATATTGGTGCTTGGCTTTAAATGTCAAACTTTATACCCTTTTGCAAAAATCTGCAAAGTATCTAGAAGACTTGGCTCCTATTCTCTCATGGTGCTTCCCATGAACACAGGCATTATTCACCCTCAACCTCCTCACACACAGCAGCCTCATGTTAGAGTCTGAGTTGTTCATGTAAATGAAAGTCCAAAAATACTACAAGATTCTAGATGTATGTGAGATGCTATGGTGTTTTTAGCAAAGAAAAAATTTATTTGTGAATACAAAGAAGTAGGGAAGTAATAAGACTAATGATCTAATAATTAAGTGATTGAAAAAGAAAACGGTATTTTAAAGATGTGTTACTTTTGTCATTGCTGTAACAGAAAGCCTGACTAAACAGGGATGAATGAATTATTTCGGCTCATGGTTCAGAAGGTATCAATCCATCATGGTTAGGAGGTCATGGGAGTGAACTTGGTCACTGGTAGGGGGAACGTTATGTAGCTGCTTGTTAAATGATGCCAACTGGGAAATGCAGATCTTTATCCAGAAGCAAGCTCAGCTATAACTCTCAAGTTCCATCCTCCAGTGACCCACTTCCTCTGGCTGGGCCCCACCTTCCAAAGGTTGCATAACTTTCCCTAACAGTGACACCACTTGGGAACCAAGTATTCAAACATATGAGCCAGTAGTGGACATTCTATATTGAAAGACTAGATCAGGACCCCACCATTTATTTTCAAGGAAGAGTAGTCTCATGTTTACAAAAGTGATTCCATTCTTGGGCAGATTCATGAGCCATTGGAATTCTGAATGCTTCTGTGATCTGACCTTCAGGACCCCCCCACCCCAACACACACACACACACACACACACACACACACACACACATTCTGAAGCAGAATGGAGAAAGTAGTCATATGGCATATGGTCTATGCTTAATTCAGATTATTTTTCAATTATTCATTTATATTTTGCCTTATATGTAAATTACTTTCTTAAGAAATTTGCATCCCAAACTTAAGTCAATCTAAACATTCTAGAATAAGATAAAGCACTGTGGTTAACATCAGACCCCTTGCGGAAAATATAATGTCAAAAATGGGAACTAGGGTTAGAGAAATGGCTCAGTACTTAAGAGCATTTGCTGTTCTTCCAGAGGTTTGGAGTTTGATTTTCTTCATCCATGCCTGGCAACTCGCAACTGCTTGTGTGTCAGTTCCAGGAGATCCATGCCCCCTTCTGGCCCTTACAGGCACCTGCATACACAGACATAAACAGCAGTGCTTGAGACAGAATGGCCAAGGTTTGGGAAGACAAAAGAATGTTAAGATAAACATGTATTGAATTTTATCAAGCATCTTTCAGCATCTATGGAGATAATCATACTTTTCTTTTTAAAAATATTTTATATTTATTTTTATTTCATGTATATGAGTATATTGCCTGCATATATGTAAGGGTACCCATGTTATGAAATGCCCGCGGAGGTCAGAAGAGAACATTGGATTCCCCTGGAACTGGAGTCACAGATGGTTATTAGCTACCATTGTGGGTACTGAGAATCAAACCTGGGTCTCCTGTAAGGACAGCCACTCTTCTTAACCACTGAGCCATCTCTCCAGCCCCTCTTTTCTATGTTTAAAATGTAGTATGTTATTATTTATCAATTAAATCTTTAATATAGAACTACCCTTGCATTGTTAAAATGAACCACACTTGGACATTTAAAAAAAAAGGGGGGGATTGTCTAGTTGGGAGAATTTTTCCCCACCTCCTCAATATAGCTGTTCTTGTTTAACTACTACCAGTTTCTTGGGGAACAGGTTCAGGAAGCATTTCCCCACCACGTTTGCCCTGTTCTGATTTGTGTGCTCATTTTCAGAGCTGGAGGCTGAGGAGTGGTGCAAGCACCTCTGCATGGAATGCCTGGGGACAAGGCTCAATGACATCAGCCTAGGGGAGCCGGACCTGCTGGCAGCTGGAGTGCAGCGAGAACAGAACGGTAAGCGCCTGTCTTCCATCAGTTCAGAGAGACTGGCACTGGAGAGGACCCCAAAGATGCTTTAGACTCAGGCTTTAAAAGAGAAAGCATACTTATTGATACTTTACTAAGGAATTTTCCATGATGGTACAGAGGCCAGAGAAAATTCAAGGTACAACCCAGGTCTCTGGTTTCTTGTAGTAGCAAAGTTATCTGTCCAAAGAATTATCTAGTTCCTAATTCTTTGTAAATTAGGCTTTTGAATGAATAACACCCTCCTGTTTTCTTCTTTGAGGACTGATATAGATTACAAGTTTGTATTAACAAATTTGGCTTATCTGCCTATCAAATTCTTCAGAGTATTTGGCTAACATTACTGGTAGGAAGGTGCACCAGGTGGTTTACCTGCTACACTGTTCTCTAATTTAACAGGTATGTCTGACTTCTCATAATCATTCATGCTTTGTATCTTTATTAGCAAGCAAATGAAACCAATTTCATCTCAGTAATGTGTTCTTTAGTGTGACGTTTCAGGTTATATTTATAGTAATTAATTGATTACCAGCCCATTTTCTCCTATTGTACAATTATTACCATGAACAACACTCTAATATTGCGAAATTAGAAAGTTTCTGTGCTGCTCAATTTTGGGGAAGGTTATTTAAGTGTTATTGATGAAGTTTGGCCCCAATTATTAAAAAGAAATTGAGGAGTTGCCAGCGAAGTATAAATCTGAAGCACAGGGGGAATCATGCCATGAGAGTCTTGGTGAGTATAGTCTTGTTGCTGCTGATGCCAAGTCTGGTTAGCATCCATCATTAGGCACAGCCCATGAGAAGACTGTTTTCTTTGTTGCTAACGTGAAAAACCAAGAAGCTTCCTGCTAACTGACTGAGAACATATACATAATTCATAAATCTCTGCATATATCTCTATCTATTTATATACTTATACCTATGTATATGTGCCAGATAGTGTCTATTTTTTATAGTTTTTGCAAAGCCTCTTAAGTGTTTAGCAACTCTTTTATAACAAGTTTTACATTGTCATTCCTCTCCCACATTCACTCAGATTTCCATTTTGCTGACTGTTTTCTGGGAGCTATGATAAACACAAAACATCCATAACTGTGCTGCATAGCATATACTGCCTATTCACAGTTTAAAACTAGAAGATAAAAGCTAGTTGATAAAGGTTTCTCAAGAACTACAAAAGTAACTGGAGGAAAATGAATAAATTAAGTTTGCAGGTGGAAACATTCTGTGTCTCTTCCAGTGTAGACTATATTCCTTCACTTCAAAGATTTGGAATTAAGGTTTCCGTCTAAATGGATATTGTCATCCTTCAATATATTAAAATTCTGTGTTGGACTTGATGATTCTTTTGATTTGCCTGGAACATATAAAGCATTTTTCATATGGACTCTTCAGACTATACAAATGTGGAATTATATGCAAGAGCTATATTAAAAAGCACAAGTTTTGTCTGGGGGTGCAGACAACACAGCAGACAGTAGCAGGGATATCAGAGTATAAGGGGTCTAGTGAGGGGAGGTAGGCTATGGGAGGTTGTCATCTGGGGAGTGGGTGTATAGTTGAATAAGATGGTTTGGGATGTTCTGTGTGACACACACACACACACACACAAATCAACAATTTTTTTTAAAACTTCTTATGTTTTGTATTATTTATTTCAATTTTTAAAATGTTTAATTCTTTAAGTCAATGGGGTAAAATTTCCTTAGGTGTACACAGTATACAGTCTATAATGGTCAGGTCAGTGCTATCATCATTCTCATATCCTGAATACTTAAACATTTTTGATTCAGATATAGTTATACATATTTAAAGAGTATATTTTGATATCTGCATAGAAGATAAATTTTACATTATAAAATCATATAATGTGACATTTCCAGGACATTTAATTTTGTGTTTTGAGACCTTTTTGGCTCCTCTTCTTTTTTTTTTTTTTTTTTTTTTTTTTTGAGACAGGGTCTCCCTGTAGCCCCAGCTGTCCTGGAACTCACTATGTAGACCAGGCT